CGCGTTGTTTATATCTGATTCCATTGTTTATTTCATCATCGCTTTTTATTCGGATACTAACATCCTACACACGCACACAGACAGACAAACAGACAGACAGATCACACGCGTTTAAAACATATATATATTTATATATACAATTTTTTAACAAATCTGTTTTTAATTTGAACATTTTTATTATCCAAACGATAAAATTTTGGATATTCGTTTTGAAATAGACACTAAAATATATATATATATATATATATATATATATATATATATATTTTTAACAATAAGAAAATAATATATATATATATATATATATATATATATATATATATATATATATATATTGAATATAAATAGGTTTTTAAATTTTTTGTTGTGTTTTTTTTTTCCTTTTTAACCTTTATCATTTTTTTTTTTTTTGTTTTTCTCTTTTTTTTTTTCATTTCTTTTATTTTAAATTTGTTTCCTTTTTTAAGGATAAAAAATCCGTTTTTTATTTAACTGATTTCATTTTTCTATCTCTGCTTTTTTTTATTTTGACTGATTTTTCTTTAAAAAACAAAAAACAATTCTTTTTGATTTTTTTTCATTATTCCTCACTCCATTCTTCTTTTTTTTACTTTTTTTCAATATTTCAAATATAAATCTTTTTTTTCTTTCTTTCTTCACACATCTTTCTTCGATGTTATTTTACGAGTTACGTTTTAATCAAATTTAAAGAAAAATCTCAAAACTTTATCAGACTTAAAAGAATTACAAATAATAAACAAACAGAAAACTGTCTGATAATTTACGAATGCCATAGAAGCTGTATTTTTATAACTAAATAATAATGAAAAAAAAAAGGCGAGCCTCTTCGTTCGAAAAATAACTCACCATTTAAAAAAAAAAAAAAAAAAAAAAAAAGAAGAAGAAAAAATGCTAGCAACTTTGTTCGATTGAAATCTGCGTACGTTGGGAAAAGTAAGAAAAACATTCAATATATTTTTTTATTGATTATTTTTCTTGATTTTCAACCAAAAAAAAAAAACTTACAAGATCTGTATTAAAGTAAGTGACTGTAAACCCCAATATACTCGCGTGTAACGTAAATTTCTAACAAAAAATATTTAGGGGAAAAATTGGAATTTGACTTTTACGTGTGTATTAGTTTCGTTACGTTAAAATCTAACGCCCGAACTAATGATCAAAAACAACGCTTAGCTTCAAGTATTAAAAATGAACGATTACAAAAACATAAATGTATTACATTCTTATTAATATTATATTCTTATTAATATTCTTTAAGTATCTCGTATAAACCTGTACTGCATACACACGAGAATATGGCGAGATCGTTAAAGAAACGTTTAGTCCAAAACTTAGGTGTTGACATAGACAGGAGTTCTAATTTCAATCGACTCCATTTTCTTTCTCGGTGATTGATATGAGAGAAACGAAACAAGTAGTATTAGTAAAAGCAAGTCACAAACAAAGAATAAAGGCGGAATTAAGAGCGACGAAGTTCATGATTTGTCTCTTTTTGGTCGGAATGGTCGTTAAAGTGATGGGGAAGTCCTTGAGGCTACAAAAAAAGGGGGTTTTAACGTTCCAGTTAAGCGTTGGGATTTTTAAAAAATTGTTTTTAGTGGAAATAAGTAATAAAAATGTATACGGATGTTGTTTTTTTCTCTCTCTCTTTCTTTTGCTTGTAAAAACACCGGGATGAAAAATCATGAAAATAAAAGTGCTACAACCAGGGCCGGTGCCAGACTCTCGTCACCCCCGAACATTTGATACGCCCCCCTCGACTAAACTGCATCTGAATTTTCATCAGGTAGTATTTATATGAAATACAAATTTTATGGTAACCTAATTATGTACAATAATGAATCAGATGCAATATGATCCATTATTGTACATAATTCAACAAAATAATTTGAAAAATAAATATAATGTATCTAAATACAAATTAGAGACATGTCATAATAGATCATTCCATCTTGAAAATGTTTTTTTTTTCAATTTTAATATCAACTTGAAATTTTTCTGTTAAAAGTTAATGAATTTAACATTATTCAACATTATGGATAAAAAATGTGTTTTTTTTTTTTAAATGATTTATCCATTAAACTTTAACAAATTATATTTTGTACAACAAAAAAAAAATTTTAATATAAAAGTCATAAAGCACTGCCAGGAGCCCCTAATTAAATTTGAAAATCCCAAAAGATTTGGGGGTTGGTGGGCAATAAAGAAGAATGATTGCAATTGTTCGTAAGTGGTATTTATATGATCATCAATGTGACTACTATATGAGCAACTAAGATCACTACTGATAATAAAAATAACGTGCATGACTGGAGAGAGAGAGAGAGAGAGAGAGAGAGAGAAGAAAGAGAGAGATATCCAGAGAGAGAATGAAAAGAAATATCAATTTCTGAAAAGTGATCTATCAATTTATACGTTATATATATATATATATATATATATATATATATATATATTTTGAATAAAAAAAAGACCACTTTAAGGTTCCATGTAATAAGTTATTTCTTGCCACAACCCCTTTAACAGGGCTCTGGATCATCAGACTTTTACTTCCAAAGGTTGAAATGAAAAATGAAAAGAAATTCACACGTTTTTTGACGGACCGCATCAAACATATGTAAAATTAACGAAGTGAAGGGAAGTGAGGTGATGGAGAGAAGATAAGATATGAAAATTTTAGATGTACCATTTTAATTCCTTTTTCTTAACCCCAATGTGTGTCGGCTAACGCGTATTGTCTCTAGATATTTCTCCAACTATATATATATATATATATATATATATATATATATATATATATATATATATATAAATAGATGATGATCCCAAGTTTCTTCCCTAGGTAGGTAGTATCTGGCTCGTTAGGATTTATTTATTTTTACTTTTTTAAATCTAATTAGAGTTTGAAACACTCTTCGTTTAAGTATTACTCGTTGGGATTTGTTTTCTTTGTAAAATATATAATTTAAATACTGGACGATTTTTTTGCCCACTTATAAATTTTTTTCCAAATCTATCTAACGGATGGCAATTTATTTGAAAAAGTTATTTATTACATCATTTTTTCACCCACCGAGTTTAAATAAATTAACATTATATATATATATATATATATATATATATATATATATATGTTTTTGTGTGTGTGTGTGTGTAACATGTGTGTGTGTGTGTGTGTGTGTGTGTATGTGTAATTCCAAAATTTTAAGGCAATAAAGCTCCTAAGACGCAAGATGAAGAAGCTAATGGGGAGTGAAAGAATTTCATTTTAAATAGATTAAAATCCTATCTATTTATCTATGTGTTTGTTTGTGTGTGCGTGTATGTGCGTGTGTGTGTGTGTATGTGTGTAATCAGTTCACCCAAGCAAGGCAATAAAGCTCCTAAGACGCAAGATGAAGAAGCTAATGGCAGTGAAAGACAATGAAAATCTCAAGAAGGAACCTGAAATCCAATCCTAAATAGGGAACAAAGGAAAAAACCTCTACTTCTGTTCAAATGATCGGACAGGAGTGTGAACTAGACGATAAGCTAACCTATAATAACCGTATTATATATATATTTATTAAAGACATATTTTTATGTTTAACGTTGTTATTTTATAGATACAAGTATTTAAGCAAATGCTCTGTTTATGATAAACAGTATTAAATAACATTTACCGGCCTGAATGTCCGAGAAATTTTCATAGAAAATTTTCGTTCTTTGACAGGATTCGAACCTGCATCCTATACGGAACCGTCATATACGCTGACGTGCCTTTACCGCTTGAGCTACAAAGAACCAATCGGTAGACAAGGTCGAATTTACTGCTTATAAACTCCAACTTTCCATGAATTTCGTACATTCATAACTGCTCTGGCGTATCGAATGTAAACAAATGACGTCATTGGTTCTTTGTAGCTCAAGCGGTAAAGGCACGTCAGCGTATATGACGGTTCCGTATAGGATGCAGGTTCGAATCCTGTCAAAGAACGAAAATTTTCTATGAAAATTTCTCGGACATTCAGGCCGGTAAATGTTATTTAATACTGTTTATCATAAACAGAGCATTTGCTTAAATACTTGTATCTATAAAATAACAACGTTAAACATAAAAATATGTCTTTAATAAATAAATTGTCGGACCTTGTCCATTTCTTAATATATATATATATATATATGGAGAGAGAGAGAGAGAGAGAGAGGTTCAAGTCTTTGAAGATCTCATTGAAGGGTGAATCTTTGTGTTTGTTTAAGTGCGTGATAATGTGAATTTTGATCTTAAGATCTCATTGGGACGATGAATGTTAGTCATTTTTTTTTTATAAATTTAAAAAATCTACATGTCAGCGTTTTGTAAATTATGATGTCGTATCATCCCTGGCGACATACAAGTGAAATTCTAGATTCGGCAAAATGTATCTATCAAAAACCCGATGTCCAAACTGAAGAACTTATTTGGATTGGAGCTTCTTGAATGTGCTATAAGTACTGAAAGAATCCGAAGACTTTTTAAATTTTTTTTTAATTAATTAATTAATTAAATCAAATAATGTAGATTTGACGCTTGTTGTTTACCAGCATTTGACATGTGCAAGTACAAATGTCAGTTCTCAATAACAGGAAAAATTCTTTAAAATAAATACATTCCATTTCTGTGTCATGTTATCGAACTTGTATCAGCGAAAGTAAGTCGCCTAAACACATAAACACACCCACCCACGCGTGCGTGCACGCATATGCACACATACACACACGTGCGCGTGCGCACACATGCATACATACATATATGTATACTGTCGTTAGATTCGAAGTACTCTCGATCGACCCACCCACGGAGTGCGACGCCTATCAATAAAAGCCGACAGGATTTGCGTTTCTAAGGCACTATTCAGTTCTTTTTGATCGTGGGTGAGTTGATTTTATAGCTACTATGGAAGTAAGTAAGAGTTATCCATCCCATTTCTCTCCCACTTTGGTTCCATATATATATATAT